TGGGGGGGCAGAGATGGATAATAGAAAAATAAATTTGTTAATCAAAACTCTTTTAGCTATTTTCATGAATCTTATGTAATTACGTCAACACTAGAGTGCATACTTTTACAGGAACCTGTCATTACCAAGTATATTTCTACCTAGCATAAACATCATAGAGAATTCTCCATGATAAACATATAGGATTAATATCATTTCTCAATATAGTTTGTATTCCGCTACACTATTGCAAACAGCTTCTTTTCAGTTTAATTAACAGTTTTCATTATACAGAGCGTCCCATACCATATTAGATTATCTCCAATCTTTAACACCAAAATAAACCCTTAATACTCGAAAAACTTATACTTTTCCGCAAGAAAATTCTTGAATAAGCCTTATGTTATTTTTCAAAATGATTCATTCTAATGAAATTTTCTAATTAGTCCCGAAAATCGTAATTTAGACCCGTTCTAGGTCTAATATGATGCGGGACACCCTGTATTTCTCTATAATCTCATTTCTTTAAACATTTTAGTACTGTTTGAACTTTCACTCGAGCGTGTACTTATTTATTTATTCAAAGGGACGGTAAGCTTAAAGGGGGTATAGCTTACGGCGAAAAATTGTCGATGGTGATCGCTACTAATCTTACTCTAATTGCTGTGTCTATAAGGAGAAAATTGTTAAATTTAACCGGTTTGAAGGTCGTCTTTGCACGAAAAACGTTAATTTCTTGCCAATTCTAAACTCAAAAGTTTTCATACTGTATTATATAATAGCTGACACACATGATGTCATAGAAATATGATAATTTTAGATTTAATTTGTGTGTTGTCACTGAAAAACGTTTAAATAGTCTCATACAAAAGTATCGTACCTTTGCGCTGGAATTCTAACCGATAAATCGGCTATTTCCCTGGCCATAGTTATCTATGAAAAGTAAGACAAATATTATTTTTCAATTCATCCCTTCTTTAATAGTTCTAAAGTGTCAATTTGGTGTTAAACCTCTAAAACAGCAATTCTTAAAGTTCTCAATTAAAATTTTCAAAGGAACTGAACAATTATCTCAAAGGAACTTAACAATTATCTCAAAGGAACTGAACAATTATCTCAAAGGAACTGAACAATTATCTCAAAGGAACTAAACAATTATCTCAAAGGAACTAAACAATTATCTCAAAAAGGAACAGAACAATTATCTCAAAGGAACTGAACAATTATCTCAAAGGAACTGAACAATTATCTCAAAGGAACGGAACAATTATCTCAAAGGACATGAACAATTATCTCAACATGAACAATTATCTCAAAGGAACTGAACAATTATCTCAAAGGAACTAAACAATTATCTCAAAGGAACTGAACAATTATCTCAAAGGAACTAAACAATTATCTCAAAGGAACTGAACAATTATCTCAAAGGAACTTAACAATTATCTCAAAGGAACTTAACAATTATCTCAAAGGAACTGAACAATTATCTCAAAGGAACTGAACAATTATCTCAAAGGAACTGAACAATGATCTCAAAGAAACTGAACAATTATCTCAAAGGAACTGAACAATTATCTCAAAGCCTTCTTCACTAATCCCTAATCTGAAACTACTTGATCTGGCAGAGTTCATAGTTTAAAATAAAATAGGTCTTCGACATTAGGTTGCAAAAATATGAGATATAGAAATTTAGATTTTGTAGTAAGTCTTCAGTTTGTTTCAAACCAATGAAAAACGAAAAAATACTTGAATTTACACAAATGTAAGAACATTAAAATGAATCCTAAATATCTAAAAGTATAACATAAACATATCTATTTACATTAAATGCATTAAAACTGTATAAAGTCAAGCTTCTGTTTATCAAATCAATCATTAATCTGATCATAGCGCAAACATTCTAATTAAGTTTTTAAAAATCATACATTTACTTTCATGTTTGATGAAAGGAACTGATTTCTTATCACAAACTAGTTAGTACCTATAACTTTGCAACCTGTTGGTGTAAACCTTTCATATTTCAAGCTGAAACTATTTAATCCCACATAATTCTATAGTTTCAAATATCAAAGGACAAAGGTCTACAACATCGGGTTGCAAATATTTAGAAATGAGAAAAACAGAGTTTTTGACAAGAAACTTGTGCAAAAAATTACGCAGTTAGTGTTATGTGCGTACTATTGATAAATTATTAGCGAAGTTGCAAGAATAATAAGGACGCACATTGAGAAGGCACTTATTATTCGGACGCACTGATGAGTAAGCACTAAATGAGATACGCAAATTTTGTGAACACACGGACAAGACGCAGATTGAGGACGCACTAAACTTTGAAATATACAATACATACATGTATATACATGCAGTCATTGCAGAATTATAAAATGGACTGAAAATTTAAAAACTATGGAATATATTGCCTGCAATTGCACTTGCAACATTTTATAAAAAGGAGAAAATTAGATTCCCCTGTTTTCTGGTTCTCACTGTAGAATAAATAGACAACTAAATTATTATTAAAGATATCACACTTTCAAAAAATGAGGGCATTTTAAAATATTTTTCTTTTTATTATTAAAATCGTAAAGATATTAACTTAAGTTTTTAATTTTGACTATTCCTACATTAACCATTAACTTCATTTTGTTTTGAAAAAAATTATTAATTTTTATTAAATCTGATAAAAAACCTGATTTTTCTATTTTTCACTTAACGGCCTTCAGTAATGCATATGAATTGCAATTTCCCATATGTATGTGTGCAAGCCTTGGAAATAAAAACAATTATCACATGTTTCAACTTTATTTTCAGAGATTTTCCCGAGAAATGGATAAATTAAAGAAGAATAAAAGATTATTAATTAAAGTAGATTTTAAAAAAAATATAGAAATAATTAAATATTGGACTACCTTGGGAACCCAGCTTAACCTGGAAATTTAAACTTTGCCAGTAA